AGCTTTAATTTCAGTCGTTAGAATATGTATTATTAAATTTTTGCTTACTTATAACTGATTTTTAAATTTCTTACATATGTTTTGCATCTTGTTTCCAGTTTTAACACAATTTATCAGTAATAAACATAAATTTTGTTTTAAAAAATTATAAAATTGTAAGGTTTATTTAATTTGTTTAACCAGTTATTTTATGTTCAAAATCTTTACTGTCACTTCGGTCTTTCCGTTTTTCCGTCAGATTGCAAATTAACTCGCGTGTATTTAAGTGGGATTTGCAGATTGTTTAAACAGAGCGTGTTTTGTCCAGTGAAGGCTACGCTTCTGGGTGTCGTATTCTAAGCTAAGAGTTCTTATCCGTGCCACATGTCGGTAGTAATTTCCCACTGGTGAAAGTCTCAGAGCCAACTTACCGATTAATTTACTCCGCGTTGGATATTAGATATCTAGACTTAGTTTTACACTTGAATTTCTGCTTTGAGTTCTCGCCATAAATGCTGGCTGATTTGTAAGAACCAGAAGTGCCTTCTGTTCATCTTACTTAGTTTCAAAATAATGGGTCTTTACAACCTTCGCAAGTCTGTGTAGTACTTTAGAAAACGTAGCGATAAGTCGTTTACATTCTTACTGAGGATTAGTCACAAGTGACATTTAGTAAAAGGCTAATAACCATACAAATAATATAAATAATATGTTAACAGGAAAGAATGAAGGTAAAATATACGGTGAGGTATTTGAGTGCTTTTTAAATGCCTCCAAAATTCAAGTTGTAAATTGTTGGGTAGAGGCGAGCGAACTTTTTTCCTTCTGCGCATGCGTACTAATTACGCTGGTGCAGCTGTCTGTTCTCTCGACACATCCGTCATTCGAACGTACGGAAATGGTGAGATATTATATGCTGTGTGATGGTCAATATGATTTGCTGTGTGATCTTTTCATTCATTATTTGTGTAAATAAAGTGTCTTGTCCTAAATCTATGGATGTTTTACTTCAGAGGCCCATATCCCATAATATGGGCCTCTGAACAACATAAATAAAACAAATTATATGTGAACACCGAATACAAATAATAGAAGAGAGAAATCAAAGGCTAATTTTTTTATTAATGGTAACATAATATTTGTGTAATCACCGGCGGAGATTGCGAAAATTAGCATTCATAACGCCATAACCATAAAAATGACAAAGAAAAGAAATTTTGGAGGGCACAGACTGGAAGTTTTTCTTTTCAGCTTATGAGCATTGAGAGTTCCCTTGCACTGAACTAAAGATTTTTTTTTTAAACCAGTGTTGTATACTTCCGATCATTCTCCACTTCCAACCACTTCAGGTGTCCAACTAATATTAACTTTATACAAAAACGGATGTCTGTGATAAAAACAACACTAGAACATGGTTTAGCTCTAAATCCCAATTCTTTCAATGCGATGTTACGATATCTTTAAAAAAAGTTTTGAGATGGATAAAAAGAAAGAGTTACTCACAAGAAAACCCTATACGTTGTTAATCAACAATGAATGCTCTTTCCTTTCTCAGAAATTTAAGGCCTGTTAGGTATAAAGCTGAGACTAGCAGCGCCAAATACCTACAGGGACTCTTATAAACAATGTAAGAAAGAAAAATCAAGAAATAATAAAAGAAAAAAACTTACGGAACAACTCTTTTTGTACACTTTTGGTTGAAAAAAGTCGTAAGTCGAAACTACGTGACGGCGCTAACTTACCTTGCGAAGATCCAGCTAATGAAATTTGATTTGGAGCTGACCACGAAATTCTAAAGATCTAAAAATAAATAAATAAAACAAAAAAATAAAAACTTTCTTTCCTGCTGAGGAAAACGTTTCAGTAAAAGTAAAAACGTTTGTCTCTTGATGACATTGTTCGAGTGTTTCTACAGCAGAAACTGTGCAGCCAGAAAAATGATCTTAAAGAAGTGCATGGAAGTTTGCACGATCTATAGTTTCATTTTCTTACCTTTCATCCTCTTCAAATTTCATCAGGTAACTATATTTTAGAAGTATGGTATTAAATTGTATAAATGAACTATAAAATACTTATCTAAGCATTTACGCCTTTTAAAGTTACTCACATCACTTTAAAGCTCGGCATTTATTTCTTATTTTGCGAAATATTTTCCTTGACTATTTTTTTATAAACTGTAGGGCATATGGAAGATTTTTCTAGCTATTAAAGAAAGCAAGAGCGTAAAATAATTCAAAGAAACTGGTTGATCGATTTTAATCCTCTCGTACGGATTACATTTGATTAAAATCGCTAAATATTCCAACTTCTAAAATGATATATTTAATATTGTGTAAGTTAACTCCAGCTCAAAATATATTTGTTATATTGTCTATACAGTTAAATTTACGATCAGGTTTCAAGTAACTATAGTGCGTATTAGTATTTAGTTCGACCGTAGGTAAGATGAGATGTGGATGTGGAATTTATAATTTTCGTAATTTTGCTGTCGTAAGAAATGAGCTTGTTTTTAGTGGTGGAAATATTGCTGAATTGCCTTCTCAAAGTGGATAATTCACCAGTAATTTGCTATGGTCATTTAACTGTGTGTATTTTTAACACGTTAAGCTTACAGATTTCAATAGTGAAGCTCAGTATGGGCTTGCTGCAAAATGCTCACTTCCAACGATATATATTAACCTTGATTTCGAATCACATTAAATTTGTACTATGCACATTAATACCAACTGTACATATTAATCTTGATTTCTAATCACCTTAATGCAAAATAAGTTTTTAGTAATTTAAGCTGTTTTTTTATATATATATCGCATGCATTTATTACCGTTTTTTAGCCAATGTTTCATAACTTAACCAGCGGCCGAGCGGTAATGTCGCTGAACACTGGTAGTTCGGTCCGAGGTTCGAATCCCGCGAACGGGCTGGCTGCATGGACGTTTTCGTGGTTTTCCCCATGTGTAACGTGTATACGAGTCAGTTTCCCTTAGAAAGTCCTCCACGAAGGCATCCCTGCCCTTAGGCAGATAGCCCCAGTGGGCTTTGCCGTAATTAAATACACCAACACCATACCTTAACCAACTCCCAGAGATGTGTAGTAAATTTTCGAATCTGAGGCCATCATTTAAGACATGACTTCCCCCCTCCAACATGCAACTTGTGCTAATCGGTATTTCCTATAGCATAAATACTACAAACACACAGCCGATCAGCGGCTGAGCGGTAAAGTCGTAGAATACTGGTTGCACGATTCGAGGTTCGAATCCCGCGAAGGGGCTGACGGAATGGGCGCTTTAGTGGTTTACCTCATGTTTGATATGTATACAAGCAAGTTCTCTTAAAACGTCCTCCGCGAAGGCATCTCTCAGATAGTTCTCGATCGCTTTAGCATAATCAAACATGAAACCACACAGAGACGCAAATCTTCGCATTTTTTAGATGATTGGAGTTTCGGTTTGCCAATCTTGAAACCAGTTCTCGAGAAACTTTTTTAAACCAGGGAAAGATCGCATAAATAGGCGATTCTTAATATAATATTCGAATTAAGTATAATAATTCAAAATTCGAATTATTGAGTCTCAAGATCACGGGTATGCATGGAAGTCTGCTATCAATTCAAAAAGCTGGCCTACTGTCTATAGCATATATACCTTTTAAATTACAGTAGTCACATTGTCAGTTGTCGTTATCGAAAGTCTATAATTTAAGAAGGGCTCTAAAAGACCACATATCTGGAGCTTATGTGGCGTATATTCCATTAGCAGGTTCTGAAATATTGATTAAATCAATCTTAGGTGTTCCGTCGTCCTCACCGCAGAAAAATATAGATAATATGCACCATAACTCCACCAGCGCTGCTATGGTGGGTTTATCGGAGTTGAGTTATCTCTTCTCCCATATTCTCGTGTTTCGATCCATTTGCGTTCATAGGAATTCAACCCTAGAGGACGAATAGCGCATTAAAGAGTAACGAACTAACTTTCAGATTCGCAGAGTCGTAATGTTTCACGCTTGCATACCAGGCGATTTTGCGTGTGCGAAATAAACAGCTTTTAAATAAGTTAAAATTGATTTAAGATAATTAGTTGCGAAAACATGATATAAATAAATGTTAAAATAAAATTAGTATATCTTTATTATTATACTAATATCATTTAGCTTTAGAGCAAAATGAAAATGTGATGTGAAGGTAGCAGCAGGTAAGTTCCGCAAATACGATTCAAAGATTTTGATCACAAAGCTGTATACGTTGGGAAACAAAGAGTAATTCAGCCTTTTTTTTTTTTTTTTTTTTCGTTTGAGATTAACTCTGATATACCAACTACAGTGGATCTCAAAACGATTTCAGTTCTCAAAAGGATTCACATCTGAAAGGAAAGGTTAATTGTTGAGTGCTTTTAACACATTTGTGGCTTGTCAGTGGCTGATGAATGGTACCTACTATACGACTGGAATTGAGAATAAATCAAAAAGCTATTTACATCAGCGCAAAAAATCACGAGACAAAAGTTTCTCGGAGTTAACAATTCTCAAAAGAGTTTCAGGAATCAGAGGAGTTAAAATGTGCCCTTTTTCCTTTAACAGAATTGCAGTTGCAAATTAATCTGAGGGTGGATGTCCTTTTGTTAAAAACATCACTGTATTTTTCCATAAAAACTGGGGATTCGTTTCAAAATTGAGAGTACTTTTCAGTTGCTCGCAGTTAAAACTAATCTTCTTTTATTTTAGCTGTGGTATTTCTGCCTCAGATTTATAAGCAACCGCGAAAACGATGAATAAAACGTATAGAAATAACATCCTACTATTTATTGAAAAAGAAAGAATTTTATAGTTTTCAGTTTGTATGTAGACCGTTTTAACTTAAATTCTAATTTACAGGGGAAAAAATCCTTCTTGCTATTTCGTCACCTAATTTTTAAGCTGGTTAGAAACTAAATGTTTTTGATTAAGAAACTAACTATTTTTAAATCAGAAACTAATTATATTTAGGAAGCAGAAAAACTTACTCAAAAAAGCACTTTCACAAAACAACACGTACGTTTATTTTATATAATTAATTATGTTAAAATAACATCATGCTTTGTATATAAAGTACAATTACCATTCCAAATGAAAAAAATTACAAGAAATAATATTTTTGTAATGAAACTCATATTGTTTTCCTCATTTCTGTATGAAAAGGAGAATCGTGTTACTTCATCTCAGTATCAGTTGTCATACAAAATATAATCCACTTTTCACCAATTTAAAATGGCTGTAACATTTATGCTTTCAAATTTCCATTTCTGAGTTTCTTTGTTTCGGTCACACGGGTTCATGAATATTTCTTTTCCATGCATATTACAGTCCAAGCAGTTTCCAGTTAACATATGTATTAAATGGCTGCTTTCCTGTAACAGAGAAAGAATACTGTACATCATTTCATGACTGTATCATTGCATTTTGTAGCTCATGCACTTATGACTAAAAAGTTATCATTTAAATAGTTACTCCCAACTAAATCGATAAACACTGTCAAACCAAATGTAGCAGGTGAAAAACAAATCTCTTCTGGACATCGCATGACTTTCTTGTATGACCTATTAAATGTTCTTTTTAGAACAACAGTAAACTGATATTGAATATTGTTAGATATTTACAACAATAAACTGACACCATCTATTGTTAGACTAACTACATATACAAAACTGTTATTATATATGTAGTTAGATTTCGTTATTTGTTGAAAATAATTTTCTTTAAAATTTGGCATTGCCAAAATTGAATATTTCCATCATATAAAACATTGAATTTGAATTTTCGACATTGTAATGAAAATATCATTGAGTATTTTCGTCACTTAATTATTATATTATTCATTAAAAACACTTCTGTATTGGAAGCACATGTCTATTATAAACGATTGCGAAAATAAGAGCCGAGTAATAACAATTTAAGCCGGAAAAGGGGTGGGTGTATCTCTCTCTCTCTCTCTCTCTCCGTACAAACACACACACATATGTATATATATATATATATATATATATATATATACCAGGTGTTTCAGCAAATCGTTTAAAAATTTTCACGAGAGATAGAGTACATTTATGATATGGACGATGGAAAAACACATAGTAATGCATAGTCGGAAATGCTGTCCTGGCACGGTACTGACGACACAAAGCACAAGAAAGGAAGGACACGAACATAGTGAGAATATATGTTTGTTACGCTTAGTGCGGAGGAAACCGAGACGATCATCATCAAAGAAGGTGTTCTAAATTACGTTCGAAACGTTTCCTCTAGATGGGATCGACAGGGTTGGTCCTGTGCATTGGCCAGCAAGACTGCCAGACCTCACGTGCATTGACTACTTCCTCTGGGGGTACGTCAAGACACTAGTGTACGAAACCCCGTTAACGGTGCTGAGAAACTTGTTGCATACATCGTGGCACTGCTGGAGAAGTTCGGGACACGCTCGGTATTCTCCAGAACATCATGTCTTCCAAGCGGGGAGATGTGAGGCCTGCATCACACATAGTCCGGCGACGTAATTTCGAACACCTTCTTTGATGATAATCATTGCCTGTGTTTGTTCTTACTTCTTGGCTTCCGCCATACTAAGCATAATACGTAAACACGTTTTCTCAACCCTGTTCGAATCCTTCTTTTCTTTTTCTTTGTATTGTCACTACTGCTCCAGGAAAGCGTTCCCGACTACGCATTGCTATGTGATTTTCCATCATCTAGGTGTACTCTATCTCTTCTGAAAGTTTGTAACCAATTTGTTGAAATACCATGTATATTTATATACATAAAATTTAGTCCTGCCGATTGCAATAAAAAAGGAAATGCACAACTACTAGTTGTCATTGCAGTCCAATATACAAAATTTAAACGTTCTATGATTGGTGTCCGCCGATAGCATCGCGGCAAAAACATCGCGGACGAAAACGTCGCGGAGAAAACAACGCAAGGCGAAAACGTCGTGCTACAAAACATCGTGGGAGAAAACATCGCAGTTTTAAAACATCGTGATATAAAACATCGTCGTCGAAAATAAAGCGGTTCAAAAACTTCGCAGTTTAAAAACATCGTCGCCGAAAATATCGTGGTAAAAAATAAAATATCTATAAATCATCGCATGACGATAACATCGCAGACATGCTTTTTTTCAGGTTTTAATAATTATAAATGGATATTCCCATAATGATTTGTGAGCACAAGGTGTAAAGAAGGATAATTTTTACTTTCACATTTTTTTATTAACTAATAAATTTTTGCTGAAAAAGTAAGAAGGAAACTTAAGCATAGAAAATTAAATGCAACTTATAGATTATACTTTTCATGAAAAATTACTAGTAAAAACTTTATAAAAATGATTTATTAATGGCCTTTGTTAGTTAACTATGTCGGTTTAAAAATTCTATTAAGTGCTATAAGTTGCATTAATTTTCTATTCTTAAGTTTCCTTTTTATTTTCTCAGCAAAAATGTATTAATTAATAAAAAATATGAAAGTAAAAATTATCCTTCTTTCCATCTTGCGCTCACGAATCATTATGGGAATATCCATTTACAGTTATTAAAGCATGTCTGCGATGTTATCGTCATGCGATGATTTGTAGATACTTTATTTTTTATCACGATATTTTCGACGACGATGTTTTTAAATTGCGAAGTTTTTGAACAGCTTTATTTTCGACGACGATGTTTTGTACCACGATGTTTTAGAACTGCGATGTTTTCTCTTTGCGATGTTTTCTCCCACGATGTTTCGTAGCACGATGTTCTTGCCTTGCGTTGTTTTCTCCGCGACGTTTTCGTCTGCGATGATTTTGCCGCGATGTTTTCGGCTGTAACCCTATGATTGATTGCTTTTGAGTTATGCAAGATATATACAGATATTCATACATACATATGGTTAGGTATTACTAAAAAATCCCTTTTCAACTCATTTTAAATCAATCTTGGAAAAAAGAATCCTTTATTCTGTTCGTATGTACAGTGACATGCGAAAAAATCATTCAGATGCATTCGGGAGCGGTCGAAATGGATATTTCCGCTGAAATATAATACCGAAAAGTTTGGCGAATACAGTGCTTCCTTTACTTTATACAAGAAAGTAATAATGTGCTTTTTTTTTTTTTTTTTTTTTTTTTTTTTTTTTTTGTGTGTGTGTGTGTGTGTGTGTGTGTGCGCGTGTGTTTTACGGCCAAAAGTCGTATCACTTATCCAAATGACTGCTCGCTTGTTTTGGTTTTGGCCAGCTTGTTAGATTTATTTTAATTAAGACGTTATTTTTATATTATTTAACTCGTTAAACTTGGCCTGCACTCCTAATGTCTTCCTTAACCTCCACGAGAAATTGAACTAAATTGGCTTTAAAACAAGCAAGAGTGTGAATTAGGAGAGAGGGATTTAGCAATGTTTTCCACTAAACTGCTCTCTTATGTTTCCCCACCTAAAATATTCCTGCTTTGGTAAGTGCATTTTGATTTTGATAGCATCGGTGCTTATAACTATTACTTACGTTTCAAGAACAGGGTTTATTCTCTTGGCACATATTTAGCTTATCACAGTTTCAAACCAATGAAGAGCGATGTTCAGTCTGTTATATTTATTTGTAACTTACAAGAAGAAATACCAATTTAAACTCTCATTCGCTATTTAAATCTTTCGAAAATAAATATCGGCTGGATTTTATGGAAGATAGAATGAGTACAGAACAGATTTACATAAAAATAACACGTTAATTAAAATAAACTTATAAGTTATTTTTTCCCTCTTTCCAGCATGCCTTCGTGGTGTAACGGTAGCAAACTCGGTGCGCATTGGAGAGGTCCAGGTTCGAGTCTCGGCAAGATCATTGCTCCTTTTTCATGTACTCCTGCTTCAAAATAACCTAATGACTCTATTGTGGCACCACCAGGGACACTGTAGAGTCATTAGGCAGAGTCACTGTAGAGTCATTAGGAGGGAGAAAATACTTTATAAACTTTACAAGTTCATATGGTCAAATCTCGAAATGTGCATTAATATACAAGTGTTTCGAATTTTCGAAAGAATTCGAAGTACAAGTGTTTCGAACATTTCCTTCTGCAATCCAGAGTAGGAAATTCAAGATTCTTCTTGTTTGCCTGTATTTGCTTTTTCTTCTATAAAGATTTCCGTGGATAAACAGGTTTATTTTACCTCTTTCGAAATTTTCGTAGTATAAATAATATAAAAAGCAGTTCGTTTGGGCATTCGGTTAGTCTTCGAGAATTTTAAAGTTGCTGCAATTCTTTACTATTTATGAAATAATTCTGAGCAATCAAATTTCATAATATTTCGCTACTTTCAGAAAGCATGAAGTAGAAGATAAAAATTTCAGTGAAGGTAGATTAATAAAATCAAGAGCCCAGTAAACAACATAAAAATTGATTCTCTGAAAAAACAGGTAGGTTATTGAGTAACGTCTCTCAGGTCTTCCATGTTTTCATTCCCGGACTGCCTGAAAATATCCAATTTCTGGGGAAATTTAACTTAGCAATTTATTATAAGATCCGAGTCTGGATATAAGATATATATAAGATGCAAGGCTATGTTATGAACAAAAAAGAAATTCCTTTTTATTTCAGCATAAATCATTGAGAATTCCATAGCAACCTATAAACCCTCGCACCAGCTGTCACTTTTCTTCAAAAGCAGAGTTAAGCGCAAATGGCAAACGATAGGGTCCAGCTTTTGCTTTTTATTTTTATTATGAAGGTTTGGTGTTCTGAAGACTTACAATAGCACACTGTACAGCTTTCAAAAAACAACTTATCAAACACAAATCCTTTTTTCTTCAAGCAAAGCTTCAATGTCTGACACATACGAATGTCACATATTAACGGTGGATCAATATAGGATATTTAGTGTTTTTTGTACTTGCATATTTATTTTCAGTTTTTCATTATATGTAAGCTTGATTGATTAAGGGAGAAAGTATGTTAAATGTAAGAATTCTGCACAAATAATAAGAAACACAAATAAAAATTAAAAAAATGTTATAAAATTTATTCCAACCGCTACTGAAATTTTGAAGTAGTGGGAAATGGTGAATTACGTTGACTATCGTTGAAAATTTATACGCATCAAGCTCTGGAAATGATCTTATTTTTCGTCCATGCACATATTTAAATGGTACTGCGTGGTTTCGACAATACGAAGGGTATTATTGCAATATTACAGTTTACGATCTCATTAGTAATGTCCTTTTCCAAATCTATGAATTATTGTGGCTAGTTATGGTCGAAACAATTCAGTTCAATAGGTCGGGAATTTGCAGTGGCCAAAGATTCTTGGAAACAGAGCGTTTGTTAAAACGTTCTCTATTCCTTTATTCCAACAACTTTTAAGATAAAAATTGTATATCGGGTCGTCTCTGCTAAAATATCCTAATATGGTAGTTTCATATACAGGTAGACGAGTATTGTATCTAACAACTTTAAATAACAACAGACAGACGGTAAGTGCTTGCAGTAACTTTATATGATAGTGAGGTAACAATATACACACGGGCATTTATTGCAGTACATAATACGGGCAATACATTGTAGAGTACCTCACTTTGGAATTCTAAGTTAATGTTGGAAGTGAGGAATCTAAGAATTGATAAGCGATAATCGCTAGAGTTCGGTGACAAGAAACAACAAGATAGAAGGGTAACTAACCCTTTATTATTCCAATAAGATTTCACAAAACTCCACCTGCGAGTGTACAAGCAAAGCCCGCACTTGAACTTGAACTTAAAAGACTAAGAATTAAACTAAAACTAAGATTAACTAGAGAAGTATAGCTGAAGCTATCAAGATTCAAAACGAGTTGGCCCCTATAACTTATTTGACTACGAAGCTTAGCAAGGGCCTGAGTACGGCCGAGCGTAATAACAGCTTTGAGAGAGAAAGTGGCCAAAAGGCAGACGCGCGTAAATCAGAAACTCTGATTCTCTCTGACTCAGTAAGTAACTTCGTGGTTTAAATACCGCTCCTTCTCATTAAATATTCAGCAAATTCCAAAACTACGTTCTGGCCGGAAGTAGTAAGTTGAAGTTAAGAATTTGACAGGAAAGGAACTTTAACTTAAAATTTAACTGTTAATAAAATTAACATAATCATTACAACATAAATCAGTGAACCTTGAAAATAATGTCCTTCTACTTGGATGCACTGACCAAGGGGATGTAGGAAGGTTCCCTTGATGCAACTCATCATGTTCATATAACTGCTAATTAGTGCAATAAAACTATAGATGAGAATTGAGAATTATTATTCAGAAAAATGTCGCGGAATCAAAGTGCTGATATTTTGTTATGAATATTTTAAATCATTGCTTTTCCGTTACCTTGTTCTTATTTCGATTTCCTTAGTTATTTATTTTAATTTTACTTATCACTTAATTGCTAAATTATGGAGCGTTAAGAATTTTTAAAGAAAACAATTATAGGCAAGCGGAATTAGCATAACGTGAGGCAATTTGATATACTCGGCAAGTTGACTCCCGTTACGCCAATTTCTGTTATCTATTATTGATTTCTTTAGTATTTAGCTCTTTGGGGCGATCTTTTGTAACACAAAAGTAATTTGTTAGATGTACTGATGGATCGAGTCACTTGTAGTTTCAGGAGAACTAAGGACATGTCGGAAGGTCCGTCACTCTTCCACTGTTCTTTTGTAACACAAAGGTAATTTGTTAGATGAACTGATGGAGCTAGTCACTTCTACTTTAAAAACGACCATCGACATGTCATTCTCCATTTGAAATAATGATGCGATGCTAATAAACATTCAAAACTATATGTAAATATATTTGCATGATGTAGTAATCTACCAAATTCAACTTACCATAAATTTGAATTGAATATAACATTTCAATATTTCTTGCTGAGACAAAAGTGCTGAAATATACTGCGAAATTTCTTCTCCTTATAATTAAAAATTTAAATTAGGAGAAATGAAAAATTTAATAAAAAAGTTTAAACGATTACATTTTAATTTATAACTGGTAGTGAGATAATAAATTTTTACCACATCATATTTCCAAAGCTGGTTCCCTTGCATACCATGGCAATTCCACAGTACAACAGGTGCTCGCTTTTCGGAACTGGAAACATCAAAACACAGCGTTCGTTTCAGAGGACGGATGTCTTTGTGCCAAGACAACACAAATTGCTGAAAAAATAATTCATGCTAGTCATAAATTTTAGCTATATCGACTCAATCACTATTAAATTAATACAGTAGTAAAACCATTCTAGACGAATTTCTAGAAAGGATAAGCTCGTTTTCAAACTTTTCTTAACATAGTGAATTGTATTTTTACTTCAAACATTTGGTAAGAAAATCACGGGCAGTAGATAGTAATTTAATACTTTGACTACATGCTTGCATATTACATATTATCCAGTGATTTAAAATGCATATTGTATGTTATGTGCAATATATATTGTCCAATATCCACACTCCAAACCTAAGTATACTTTTTAGTTATTTCTTTTACAAAACTGTTTACTAGTCAAACGCGAGTGCGTGTTCGTAAGTTTAAGTTTGAAAGAGATATTAAAATCATAAAGGACATTCAAAATGTTCTGAGATAGTTGAGCTGAAACAAATAAAAATTAATTAGTATTTGATAGCCTTTTTCTATATCTTAGCTAGAAATACTAAAAACAATCTGCTATAAGTTGAAACCACTTACGGCAAGGTGGTAGTATGAAAGTGGCATTCAAAGTGGTAGTACCACATCAAAGTATAAGACTTGCTTAATGCATTTTAAAATTGGTTTAAGGATTACCAGGGCTTCTTCTAATAATGAAAACTCACCAAAGGAAGCAGTAGCAAAATCTTCGGAGTGTAAATCAAGTGATAATGGAGGATATGGTGAAATAATTACTATTCCATGTTTCAAAAATTCGCAGAACTTAACAGCAGTGTTCAGGTGCATTGTCGCAGTACTCAAAGCCTTGATGCTGTGTTTAATTTAGTACCATTTTTGAAGCATTGCGGATGAGGAAATGCTCGCAATACCATAACCTGTGTAAGTTACTTCAATGTCTTCACCTTCGCAGTGAAAACAATCTACATTTACAGCCCAATGGCGCACCAGCGGCCGAGCGGTAAAGTCGCTGAACACTGGTAGTTCGGCCCCGAGGTTCGAATCCCACGAACGGGAGGGCGCCGTGTATACGAGCCATTTTCCCTTAGAAAGTTCTCCTCGAAGGCATCCCTCTTCTTAGGCAGCTAGCTCTCGAGGCTTTGTCGTAATTCATAACCAAACCTTAGAGCCAAAAGATGCGATTATTGTTTTGTTGGCGCTTCTTCCATTTCTTGTTTCTGATGTTGCTGATGTTTCATTAACAAAGCATCTAACTCTGACTACTCATTAGTGATTCATATGTATATACTTACGTTTTCCCATATATGAAAATTTTAAAACCCTTCGATTTATGATGATACTGAATTTTTTAAATAAAAATTTGCACCATTTCATATGACTTTCTTTCTGTGTTCAGCGAGAAGACAGGGCACCTCCTGGAACATTTTAGATGCTTTATGAAAACAAAGACGCCATGAAGAACAGAACTGACACTTTCTAATCTGATATTTAGACTGTCATCTAAATGCACATAGTTAACACAATAATCTTCAGTCACAAAACATTCAACAGCAGCTATATTTTTTCTCGTGACTGAGATAGACTGGCGGCCTTTGCATGTAGAATCTTCTTGATATTATTCTCCAGATTAAAATGATCGAACTAACTAAATACTGTCAAACATGAAGGGGATTTATCTCCTAAACCTGATATTAAATTTTTACAGCGACTCTTTTGATGCAACTAATTAAAAAAATCTGTAAATGTTAAGCCCGATAATCTTTCCTAGTGACTTGGCTTTCTCAGGATTATGTGCGTCATTCACACCTTTTCGTGAGCATCTTGTTGAAAGCATTTTCAAAGCATGAAGCCACGACATACAGTGAGACATATTTATTATGACAATTGAAAAGTTAAGGTGGCTTTATATATTTAACTCTCATAGATGTGTATCTCAAAATAATTTGAGCACTCTGTTAAGTTCTTTCATTTTAGTTCAAAATTATTTAAAAATTTGCTTCAGCCATCAGATTAAATTTAAATTATTTGCAATTATTAAACGTTAAATGAATGCATAAAATATGGCTGGTAATATATTAATGCAATATAAAACGAGTTTAACAAATTAATTTTATTTAACTACTAATTAATTACATGCATTAAAACATATAATTTAAATTAAACAAAATTTAGTGCTTTTATTTTGGCTTATTTATAACTACATTATAAGTAAACATTTCCCAGATTAACAAGCTAAATTATTAAACAATCATAAACTTTCGTGGAAAATTTGTTTATGTGAGTAAACGTAGTATACATTTCCTGCGTGCACTTCCTTCAGATCATGTCTTAAACCGCTCATGTCTCACTTATATTTAACTCCAATTTAAGTTGAAATTTTGTTTGAGTTTATAGTTTAATTTTTGGCATATATAAGTGAAGTCTTTTTTATCTTTAGAAACGTGCAATTTTTAACACACTTTAGAAGCCGTAATTGAAATAATAAGAAGTTCTGTGCTGAAAGATTTTTCTTACATATTGATTAGCTGTACTCTTCCCCTAAGAACAAAAAGAGTACTGAGAAGTTTAACGAGAAAGTGGGAACTTTTCCAACTAAGTTTCTGCGGTGAAACTTGCTTCAGAAATGAGTTTCCTTTGATGTCATATGACGAGAGTTCTACAAATATTGACTTCCCAAACTCATCTATAAATATATTTCTTTCCATTCTTTTCACTAAGAAAGCTACACAAACAAAATCCGATGAAATTTCGGTCTCTTTTGTTTGCTTATCTTTTGTAACATTCCCTTAAATATCTTTCCGGTCATTCAATAACTCTGTTTCATTAAAAAAAATTCAGCTTTTTGTAACCTTTTCTTTTGTATGAAAGTTTTTTTTCCTAGAAATAGCTTTTTCCTCGAGTCATTGTGAAAGCGAACTTGAAAGCTGTGCATTTTAGTCGAGTCCTCTGTTATAACTACTATTAAAAGAAATCTCTAAGTGTTGTTGAGAAAACTGAGCCAATAGTTCATATATAACTCAAAAAAGATTAAATGTTTTAATACTTTTACAGGCAGAAAGGTCATCGATGACCAATACTGCAGTTTTAATTTACGTTTTGTTTGTCCCCATTGACTGCCACGGTTACTAAACACTCTTTAAATTTTGCTCCAGCTGTCAACTGTGGACATGAGTCATACATAAATAGTGCGTCTGCTAAGTTTTAGGACTATTTTCTAACGTATTCCAGATTATCTATCAAAGAATAACTGGAAGAATTGATTTCGAAAGCACCTTTATTTGCTTTTCCTAAAATATCGTGCTCTATCCGACTGTATTTTCCATGCAGTTAAATGTATGCTTTGATCCAATGAACATCTGTTGGGATGAATTCAAAAACTAAGAAAATAATTTGATCCAAATGACAGATATTAATCCAAATTTTGACTATGTATGAAAGATGGCGCTTTGCTTATGATCCTCAGACAAAATGGGCATCATCTGCGTGGGTTGGAGAAAGTACATCACGGCCAAAGAAATTCAGTTTCAAAAATCTCAAGCAAGGACTATGTTGATGATTCGTTTTGAATGGAAAATGGACAATTTACATGCAAATTTGTTCTTGAAAGACAGATAGTGAACTCCATATTTGTAAAGACGTAATGGATAAAATATTGAAGAGCATTCCAGAATAAGACTAGAAAAAGGCTCAATAAAATAACAAATTTATTCTGCACATTAGAACAATTCAACCTTTGTTAAGGAACTTCTAGCAAAGAAAAATGTTTCAATTCTCAACCACCCACCCTATTCACCACCTCTGGTAGTATAGAATACATTCTTTTCCCTAATGCTACACAAACACTATACATTAACTCAATGCCTTTTCCGGGTCTTCAATCTTCGATACTCTAGTTAGCATCACTAACCCTTATTTCGTCTAGGCGGCACAGGAACATACAGATACAAGAATTTATAGATTTTGTAAACCCTATATATATTTGTAATAATAAAATTCCATAGTCAAGAAAACACTTAATTCTAACTGTATGTTCTTTTCATTTTTAATGGTGACGTTCTCTTATTTGAAAGTACGTGGAATTAAATCCACAGCCCCGTAGTCAAGTTGTTTTTCCCGTCTTTTTCTACACGTACAGTTATAGAATGTTCTGGAAGTATTTAAAGCAAACTGGATTGGCTGACGAGGCTGACGTCATTTCTTGGAAGCTCCGCCTTTCCAGAGACTATAAAAAGACTCGCAAAAGGAATATCGGGGCTTTTCTTTAATGCAACGAAGCAGTAAACTTCATACAAAAAATTGTTAGTAATTCTTTTTATTTATTCCGGCTATCTGATTTTGTAACTGCTATTTCTCGTGAATAATAATAAATGGATCCTGTTTTTTATGCTAATTTCCGGAAGCCAATCAGAATTGAAGAGGATGCAATTCGCTGCAGAGGTAGATGGAAGGATGCAAATATGTTAGGTAACAGCCAATCATGCTTTCATGTCAAGAAATATGCAAAAAAGGCAGTCTTATAAGAAGCCAGCTTTACGAAGGATTACAGAAGTTGATTGTAAGTGCTGATAGAAGGTGTTTAAAACTTTCGTACAATTTGTTTTCAAGACATATGTGTTTCTATGACTGCCAGAAGACGAATAGAAGCCTCTATTATCGAAAAGGATATGGGGCGCATTGAAGCAGGACAGTCGATTATAGATGTTGCTCTTTTCTTCGGCGTTCATCATTCAGTAATTTCACGTTTATCGAAACAGTTCCAAACCACACAGACAGTTGTCCGAAAGTCCGTAGCCAGTCGCCCAAGGGTTACAACCGCTGCGGAAGATGGATATATTGCTATTGTAGCCAAGCGGAATCGCAGAGCGACCTCTACATGTGTGCCATCTATGGTTACAGCGTCCATTGGTAACGCGATATCTGCAGCTTGTACGCCCGGGTACCTCGAGTTTGTGTTCCTCTATCAGTCCAATCAAGAGGGGCATGATTACAGTGGCGCCGGGAACATCTCAATTGGAATGTGTCTGACTGGGGCAATGTCATGTTTACTGATGAGTCA